ACTAAGGTGATAATCGATTATCACCCAGCTAAAGTCTAGCCAGCTGAAACCCGTTTTGAAAAACCGAGGTCCAAAAAACGAAGTGTTCCCAAAAGTAAAAACCAGGTTTGGAAAATATTGTATATGGTATAAAATAGTGAAAACAAGACTTGTTTGGTAAAAACCAAGTCTCCAAGGTCGTATAATACGTGCGTACGGTTTAGACCATTTTTCACGTGTTAGACCGATTGACCAAGATACAAAAGTGGTTTTTATAAAATAATTATTTGGGAACATTTTAAAAATGCTCAGAGGTAAAAACAGGGTTTAAAATATTGAAAACCACGGAGTTGGTTTGGGCGCCAAAAACCGAACGCTGAAAGCCGAACGTCGAAAGCCGAACGCCGACTTAGATGGTTTTGGTTCTGAGCAAGGACCAGGGATTTTAAAAATAAAAGAAATCATCAAAAATGTTTGTTTTGATGCACAAAAAAAATATTTTATGATTTGTAAAAATTGTTTTGACTTTTTGAGAACCGAGACTTGAATTTATTGTCGGTTTTGATCACAAAAGACTGACTCGACTAAGTCTTCAATTCTTGATCTTGTCCTTGAGTCTTTTAGGTCTTGTTCCAAGCCATTCTTCACGCCTTGAGTTATTCAACAAAACTCTTTATATCCACGGCGGTTTGGCAATTATCAAAACCTGTCAGAAATGAACACGACTTTAGTTTATCATACAAAGTGTGTTCCAACAACGTTATCTAGATAACGCTTGAGAGAACGTCAATTTCATGATCGTATCACTTTTGCCTTTCTATTATGTAACTTTGGCATTAATATCACTTGATCTTTATTAAGTATGCTTTATTAATGCTAATGGCAAGTTTAAAATTTGAAAATTTAAATAGAAAGGGTACTTGGCTCCTTTATAAAGATATCCTTATATCTCTAAGTGGTTATCACTTCATTCATAATTTCGTGACAAAATTATTAACTGATTAATATTTGTACTTTGTAGCCTTGGTATAGTTGTTGTATTGCGATATGCTTGTGAGGCAAAATATTTGATCATATGAAATACTTCTATAAATGGAGCAACAATTTGTCCTTTATTGAAATAACCAATAATACTTAAAACAATAAGTAAACATCAATTCGAAATTGAAAACTGATCAAATACTAAAACTTAAACTAATGCGCCACAAATCTGCAACCCTTGCATCTTCAAGATCAACACTCCTACTTCTTCTCTTCAGTTGCTGTAACGGTTTGCAATACTATAAGTATCGAATACTTTTGAAGAGATTGTAGATTAGTTTAAGTCTTTATAACAATTGTACCTGAAGCAGAAGCTTCACCCCTTTTCTTGGTTGCCAAATACTACTTGCAATTCCTCTTCTAGTGGCTAACTTCACCACAGTGATGACAAATGGAATCTTTGGCCACTCCACCTTTAGGCTTGAGCTTAGAAGAATTTGACTTTGGTTCGGTGTTACCCTTGCCTTTAGGTCCATTCTTCTTTGCTTTCTTGAACTTCTTCTTGCCTTTTCCTCCTTGAACCAGAAGGACAAAATTCCCCTTTCCTTTCGTCAAGCTCTCTTCAGCAGTTTGCAACATCTTCAAAAGTTCTGGCAGTGGTTTATCGAGTTCATGCATCTCGTAATTAACCACAAACTGCTTGTATAATTCAGGCAACGATTGCAGAATTAGATCAGTCGCAAGTTCAGTCCTTAGTTCGAAACCCAACTTCTCAAGAGTTTGGACGTAGCCAATCATCTTGAGAACATGCGGACCAACGGGGTTTCCAACCGACAACTTGCAACTAAAGAGAGCTTTGGAGATTTGGAATCTCTCATGCCTAGCTTGTCCTTGGTAGAGCTGTCTTAGGTGTATGATCATATCGTACGCCTTCATACTCTCGTGATGTTTTTGAAGGTCAGAAGTCATCATAGCCAACATGAGACATGCCACCTCATGCTCATCATCAACATGCTTCTCATAAGTATCTTTGATAGCTCTAGAAGCATTGGCGGCCGGGACAGGTGGGATGGCTCGTTTGAGCACGTATTCTTTCTTCTTGAGTCGAAGAACGATAACGACGTTTCTTTGCCAGTCTAAGAAGTTAGAGCCGGTCAACTTATCTTTGTCGAGGATCGAGCGAAGAGTGAGGTTATGGTTGTTATTAGACATCTACATATAATTTCCAAGATAGTTACTATCAAGAATCTAAGTAATTAGCTACGTCTTTAACTAATAACTCTCCCACTATTTTAACAAATCAACTACCCTCAAGTACGTAACCTGTTGATTTGAGACTTCTCCTAAAGAGATATCTTAGTGGGCCAAGGTCCATATTACATTTAACTATAGTTGTGGTTTGCATCTTGCCGTATAGTTAAACTAATTAGGTAGGAACTTATTTCCAATTGTGATCCAATCAAAATCCTTGGTTTGTTAGGTTGTTTTAAATAAAATCCTATATTGGGCCTAGATCCTTATTTCATCTAACTATAGTTGTGCTTTGCATCTTGCCCTATAGTTAAACTATTTCAGGTGGGAACTATTTCCAATTGTAACATTTTACAACTCTAGGTTATATGAATTTGATTTTATTTATTAACCTAACCATGTGCCTCTAAGTTATTCATCTTTTTACCTTAACTTAGTTAAGTTCAACCCGGGGCGTACTCAGTATCCATTGTTACGGATTTTGCGTCATACCAATGTAAACCAGGCGTCCCGCTTTGGCGTGTCTGTTGACTGGTCGAAACTGGTATCGACGAGTGAGTCGGCGTCGGAAGGCACAAACTTAATATTACGAGGGATTTTTAGTGATTTCACCTATGGCATGTGCCGCACACATACACTAGCGAATATCATACAAACATATATACTAACATGTATAATGAATAAAACGTGACATGGCTGTGGCGTCCTAAATAACTAACGATAAAGCCTTCACTTGAGATCTCTATCTCTAACTTCACCTTCTTTCTTTAAGAATGCTTTGGTCTTGAAGTTCAGCCCTTTCTTGTTAGTGTCCTCTTCTTCTTGGCTCCTTCATCTTCATTGCTTCTTCATGGACTTCTTTGTTTAATCGAGAGAAAAGAATCCTTGCTTTTTAAGCAAGGGGTATGAGGTTTAAGAAGAGATTTACAACCAGAATTTAGAGATGAGGCACGACACGTAGACCGTATTTAAAAACCAAACATTCTATGCCACAGCCATGCACCATGCATACATTCATACATCACATGCATAAAACGATACACCGGGCAAGCCGCGCTTGCCCAGACCTAGTTTATTTTAAGAAAAATAAACTACAAGCCAAAAATTATCAAATAATTTTATTTAACTTTATTTTAAAACTCCAGAATATCCAAAATTTAATTTTGAATTTTCCTGAATTTTAAAATAATTAATTGCCATAAATATAGGTATTAATTTCGAAATTGGGATTTTAATTCGAAATAAATACTTATACCTTTTTAAAATTAATAAATAAATTCCAGAATGTGTATTCTGATTTTATAAGTCTGAAAATAAAATTTCCAGAATTTATAAAATTTATTTTAGAAATTCTATATTTAAATACCCAAAATCGGACTTCAATTTTCCAAAAATTAATTCCGAGTTTCCAAAAATTAATATTTTCCAAAATTATTTACTTTGGGTCCGAAGTGTTCTGAAAATCAAATTTACAGAATGAAATAAAATTTTTTTCGGTAGTTTGGAATTTGTTTCCAAAAGGAGTTAAATTAATTTTCAAAATTAATTTAGAATATTCCAAATATTCCAAAAATAAATATTTTCCAAAAATATAGTTTTTGACTCATGTAAAATCTGAAAACAAAATTTTCCAGATTTTACTTATATTTATTTTCGGTACTTTCTATTTATTATTTGGTAATCCATAAAACAATTTCTAAAACTATTTTCGTGTACTATAATTGTTCCAAAAATCCATATTCTCAGAATATTATGATATTAATACCAAATATTAAATTTCCATAATTTAAAATTAATTATTTAATTTTCGGGAATTAAATACCGAATTACCAAAACCGTTTTTCCCAAATATTAATAATTAAATACTTAAATTAAGAATTTAATTCTCAAAATTTTATGCAGTCTGAAAATCATATTTTCAAGTTCATAAAAATATAATCCCGAATTTCAATTGTCCTTTTCGGTTTAATCTATATTAATACCGAATAAGATTATTTAAATCTGGAAAAATAGAAAATAAAAACTGAAAATTTATTTTAATTTTCCAGATTACTTAAAATATGGATTCCGTTCGTTTTCCCTGCAAAAGAAAAGGAAACAACAAAACAAAGAAAAATGCATGCATAGTGTGTGAAAGTGTTAACAAAACTACTGCTATATTTATTATTATTATTATTATTATTATTATCATTATTATTATTATTATTATTATTATTATTATTATTATTATTAGTACTATTAAATTGACGGGTTGCCTCCCGTTAAGCCCTATTTTAACGTCATTAGCTTGGCAGTATTATTCCTAAACTAGGTAAAGCAAACATATCTAACGGAGCACTCTCCTCGAGAGTCTCCAGCTTAATTTGGATTATCGGCGTAAGGTGACGCACACCCATGTATTCATAAAGCCAAAGTAGATTAAAAATCTTGTAAAAAGAACGAATCATCCCTAACGTATAAAATATTCTAATAACGGAACATGCTTAGGGGTGTTTAGCTTCATGAAAAATGGTTAAAGGAGATCCTCATTCTGTGATAAAATCTTAGATGACTCTAAAAGGTCTCCTTGAATGATTTTTTCTAAGGGGCTCTCTTCAAGATATACATTCTGATTAAATTCAATAGAGCCCCCTAAATGATCAATGCCCTCGGGATTTTTTAAAAATTCTACCTTAAGCTCGCTCTTATATTCTCCATTTTTTCCATCGAGAGACGAATAAACAAATCTTTGATCGTCTATTTTCTCTTTTACACTTAATGGAGAAATAGTAGATTTTTCCTTGGGCATTATTTCCTCCACCCCATTATTCTAATTTTCATCATTATTTTTAAATGAATTAACTCGAATAAGAATACCTCTCTCTAGAAAGTCTTTCAATGTTTCTTGGTTTTCTTCTTCAAAACTTGCCCAAAGTTTTACTTGTTCGAGATAATATCTGTTTTCATTATATTCCTCCTCTTGAGGTGGTTGGCCTAAAGGAGAAATTTGCTGCTCTTCTTGTGCTATGTTTGATTCAACAATTTTATCCACCTCAATTTCCTCATCCTCGGATTCATCAGCTAACCATTCTTTTTGATGAATTTTATTACATTCATAAGGTTTGAAATCTAATAATTCATAGAGATTTCCAATTTCTTTAAGAATATCTTCTTTTTCATTATTGAAAATTTCAAGATTAGAATAAGGACTTAGAGAAGAATAAGGAAAAATATAACAAAGATTACCTTCTTCGTTTAGAGAAGAATAAGGAAAAATATAACAAAGATTACCTTCTTTGTTTAGAGAAGAATAAGGAAAAATATAACAAAGATTACCTTCTTCGTTTACTAAACCCTTCTTCTTAAGAAATTCATCAAAATTAAGGTTAGTTTATCTCTTTAATTCTATTTGCCCGATTAAATTTCTTATAATGCGATCCATGTCATTTTTAATCGATTTTAATTCATTACTAATCACATAAAAATTATTAATAGGGCAAAGTGAGGAGTAAGGAGAGGAAAATTTCTCTTGGTAATCAAAGTTATTGTAAATATCCTTTGCTCATAATTATTTTCATTGAAAAATCTAGTGGGATTATTACAATAATTTTGGTTGTCATAAAAATCACAATAATTATTTTGATAATTTGGTAAATGATTGAAGTTATTAAAATTATTAAAATTCCTCCTATTATTCTCATAACCGTAAGAATAATAATTATCGTTCATAGGAAGATTATTATACCAATTATTTTCATAACAAAAATTATCTTGGAAGTTTCGTGGACAATCAAAATTACCATTATCATTATTGTTCCACCTATTATTATTAGATTGATAATCATATTCACATATATGTGGATTTTCATAAAAGTTATTTTCATTGTAATCACGAAAAAAATTATTTTGATGATATGGGTTTGGAATTTGGTCATAAAATTGAAAATTGTAAAAATCATTACTAAATTGGTTCATAAAAAAGAAAATAAAAGGAAATTAAAGAAACAAACAATAAGAAATAAACCTTATATACTAAAAATTTTCCTATGAAAATATCAAAACTAACTAAACCGTGCCACTCTCCGGCAACGACGCCATTTGACAAAGATAAAAATAGTGGTAAGTCAATTAATTAACCGAGAATGACAAGGGTCATCTCACAAGGATTGGCGAAGGGAAGTACTTGTTAAATAACTAAATAATTTGATTTAATAAAGTAAATAATTTTGAACTAAAGCAAAACTTAGAACAATCAGAATTCAAGTAGAAAAAGTGCAATAATGAAGTTAGTTCAATCAATAATTTAGAAATAGGTATGAATTGAACAAGTATATGAGCTAAGGTAATAATTTTAGATTAAATTAGCTTCTTGATTAATTAGATTTTAATTTATTAACTTATCCTATTTCTAGGCCTCATTAATGTGTCTAAATATGGTTGGCTAGAATATTTTCCTAACTCATAGACAAGATGGACTAATAATCTCCAAGAATTAATTAATAAATTGGCCAGATCTATTAATTAGTTAATCTCATTTTAGACTAATAAATCAATTAACCAAGTAACTAACTTAATTTTAATGAATAACATTAGCCCATACCTTGAATTTAATTCATACCTTAATATAAACAATAAAAGATATTTTATTTGATAAAAGAAAAGTGTACAAGAAAGCTTACAGATCTCGAAGAATTGAATACAATCTGACAAATCTTTAAACCATCGCTCTATGACTTTCAGACGAGAATCTCGAACTTAAAATGGAGAAAAAGAAGCAAATTTTTGGACGGATAAGAAGTGTTCGGATTGCATCAAAATTAGGTACACCAAAATGGTTTGAAAATGCAACATGTCTATTGGGAAAAATATTATAGATTTTGATGATGATGTATTTAGATTGTAATAGCGACTTTAGGTCACCCCCAATATTCAATGTAATTTTTCTTTTTAGAAATATTGTTAAAACCGAGTTCTTGAGATTTCCAATAAAGATGTGATAGTTCACTCTATGGTTTGATGTCAATCTTTGAAGACTTAACCAAAATCAGTAATATGGAAATTGGATATCTTGATCGGAAATGTCAGAGACAAGTAAGGAATTCTCAAAGCAGTTGATTACTTTGAAGATCCTCTAATCCGGAACACTACATGATAACCGGATGTCTCGCTACAACCAGCTGAAGGCTAAGTCATTCGGATTGGAAGACTAGCGCGAATCTCTTTCTCACCTGGAAGTCTATAAATGACTTTTCCAGAATTGTCAGCAAAGAACCGGATGCCTCATGAAAGACTGGAATTCTCAGAAGCAGACAAGTGAGAAAAGACTTCGAAAATTAACTAAGTCTTGAATGAAGAAATTCTACCCGTTGGTAAGGAAAAATCAATCTCTTGATTTTCAACGGCTAGATTGAGGATAATTAAGCTGATTCAAGAACAAATAACTTGAAGACAAAGTCTACAATTCTCAAATTAAAGAGCTTGCCCAGAATTCCTAAACAAGCACTAGAAGACAAACTGAGTACTCCACTCAATAAAGAGCTACAGTTCAGAATTCTTGAACAACAGCTAAAGGACGGATTCTGTGAAAAAGGAATCCTTCTTCAAACAATTGGGTATGTCCAAACACCTATTCCAATGAAAAATCCTCAGTCTCACTCTTCGTTTAAATTGAAGCTAGCAAATGCAACGGATAGTCTATTCCCTTCAACGGATAGATTACCCAATCCAGCTATATATAGCTTCCTTGGAAGACTGGAGAAAAATATGAGATAGCAAGCAAGATCACAACAACAACAATCTACATCTATCTCATTCACAGTTAGCTAAAAAGCTTGATAAAGAGAGATCTCTAAACTCCTTATCCAGAAGAAAACTTCTCCTCCTTCCAAAGAGCTATAGTGTAAACACTTGAAGGTTTCCTTGCCTCAAGTACCACACCACGTTGAAGGATACATCTTTTAATCATACCTATTGATTAAAAAGGGGGTACATCAACTTTCCTACAAGTTGATCTTGCAAGTCCTATTGTTCGGATCTTGCAGTTGTTGAAGAAGCTTGACCTTCGAAGGAACAACAAAGCCAGCACGTGTGCAGTAACAACATTGGCCTTGTGAAGATTTACCGTGCAAAAATTCACACAAGTGTAATTGTTGGTTCATTATTCAACAACCAACTACATAGTGGATTTTGAGGATGTAGAAGGATTACCCCACCTTCGAACCTCGTTAAAGTTTGCGTCTCTCTCTCTTTTATCTTTACTCATACTTGCAATTATATTAAATGTGAAACTAACCCATCCATATTGATTACTGCTCTATTAACCCACCAACATCCGCACACAATCTAAGGTTCACAAGAACTCTAGATTAACACTCATTTTCACGTTTTCAAAAGAAACGAAAAAGTTTTTAAATTGTAACAAAGTCTATTCACCCCCCCTCTAGACTTTGTATCTCACCACTTTGGGACCTCCAATTAGTATCAGAGCAAACTTATCACTATCTACTCTTAGATTAAAGAGAAGCGATCATAATGGTGAACAATATGGATCACAGTTTGCCCAAGTTCTCTCTTCTAGGTTTAGATGATTGGAAGATCATGATGGAAGCACACCTCTATGCCCTACATGACTGCATGTGGATGGTGCTTGAAGATGGACCCTTGAAAATCCAAATGGAGAATCTAGAGAGGAATCCAACCAATCCAGATGTGGTCCAGTACATTCCAAAGCCCAAGGAGAAATGGGATGATAGAGATTGCAAAAAGCACAATCTGGACAACGTCGCCAAAGCAGCCATCTTCAAGACACTTGATCCCATCACCTTCTCCAAGATCAAGCATCTCGAGACTGCCATGGAGATATGGCAAGGTCTTGGGAAGTTATGTGAGGGATCGGAAGATCTGAGAAAGCAGAAGATAAAGGTCTTGCTCGAGAAGTTCAAAAGCTTCAAAATGCTTCCCGGAGAATCATTCGATATGTTGGATGAAAGATTCCACAAAATCTTGAATGATCTTGCATCCCTTAACAACGTTCTTTTTCCCAAAGAAAAGAATGCAAGGTTACTGAGATCTCTTCGAGCTGAGTGGTACACTAAAGCCACAGCCATGGAAGAAGGAAGAAATCTGGAGAACTACACTGTCCAAGGTCTCCTAGATGAGCTCAAAACCTATGAGCACGAGCTGAAGAAGAAGAAGGAAGAGCAAGTCACTCCTTTTCCCACGGCATTAATGACAACTCTAGAGTCCTAGCAAGCAAAGGGACATGCCCAAGGAGCTGTGATACCCCTTCATCCAACCAGCTACCAAGCTCAAAAACGGAGAACTACGATGAGGAATTTGCCATGATGGTCAAGCAATTCCGGAAGTTCAAAAAGTTCTTCAAGAAAGCTGACTCAGTCAGAAGGCCATCCAAGGGAAAGCCACAAGTAAATGACTCCCCTCCTGAATCTTATTTGTGCTATAACTGCAGGAAGCCTGGCCACTGGAAGTCAGCATGCCCGTACCCAAAAGTGGAGAAGTACGGAGAAAGAGAAAGAAACGAGAAGAAGAAAAAGGCAATGGTAGCAGGTAAGAGTGACGAGTCATCCAGCTTAAGCTCGAATAAAGAAGCCCTCATCTGCATGGAGCGCAGAGCTGAGAAGCCCAATTATGAGGATCGGTGGACTATGTCAGAAGATGACGCCCTCTGTCTAATGGCCAAGGATGATGCTGATCGAGAGGTAACTTCACAAATCTCCTGTTCATCTTCTTATGATAGCTTACTAACTTCTGAAAATCTATTTGACAAGTTCAAAAAGATGATGGAAGATTTTGAGGAAATAAATCTTAAACACTCATCCCGAACAGAGGAGAACATGCTATTGAGTGAAGAGAATCTCAAGTTGACTGAAGGTCGGAAAAGTCAACTAAGTGAGATTACTCAACTCAAGGCTGAGAATGAATCTCTTTCTGAAAAGGTGAAATCCCTCAACAAGGAGCTAGGGTTACTAAAGTCCAAAGAAGCAGTGGATAAGCTTCTTGAAACGACCAAACATAAGGGTCGTGAAGGACTTGGTTTTGACCCCTCTAGTTCCAAAAGGAAAGGGAGAACAACTTTTATCCCTTCCAAACCTACTGCCAAACCCAATAAGCAGAAAGGTAAGGAGAAGGAGAAACCTAAAGAAGTTCCCAAAAAGGTAGTCCCTCCTAAAAATTATAGGAAGCTGGACACACCTAAAGGAGGAAACAATCTCAGAAGAAAACCTTCTAACCGCCACTACACACGAGGCTATACTCATTATGGGGTAGATAAGAGTTTTCCAAGAAATTCTGAGTTGAGAACTATGCCAAGATATAGTCATCCTCCACCCCAGAAACTATTTGTTCCACCTAAGTATGTTTATAACCATCACAGGCCACACTATGCACAATCTAGACAAAACTATAGGTCTTACCAACCTAGGTTTACTAGGAGGAAACAGGAAATTGCACCACCTACACGTAGGAAGTTCTATGCCTACAACTATGACTATAATCCCAACAAGTTTAGAGCTGCAAGGAAAATTCCCTGCAACTTCAAACTTGATGTGGGAACACACACCATTAACTATTCCAGACCCAAACTGAATTGGGTACCAAAATCTTCCTCCTCCTAATGCAGGAAGCCGCTAAGTACCTAGGTGTCTGGTACTTAGACAGTGGCTGTTCAAGACACATGACGGGTGATGCAAGTCTTTTGAGCAATCTAATTCCCTATAACGGTCCAAGAGTTACTTTTGGAGGAAGCAATGATTTTGGCCTTGCAAAGGGGCTAGGAAATCTGGTGTACAAGGGTTTAACCATCCCGGCTGTATCTTATGTGGAAGGCCTCAACTATAACCTTCTTAGCATAAGTCAGTTCTGTGATAAAGGTTATTTTCTGGAATTCTGCAAGGACATGGCATCCCTCAAGAACATCTCCACAAATGAAGTCATTCTCACTGGGAAGATAATCAGAAACATCTACGAAGTAATGTGGGACGATGTCAAGGAAGCATGCCAAATCAGCAAAGGTGACCCTAACCTTCTATGGCTTTGGCATAAGAGGTTGAGTCATCTCAACTTCAAAACCCTCAACAAGCTATCCAAAGAAGGGTTAGTAGAAGGTCTTCCCAAAGCTGTGTACAAGAAAGAAAACATTTGTGATGCTTGTCAGAAAGGAAAACAAGTCAAGTCTACTTTCAAGGCAAAACCGGCTCACTCAACTACAAGGATACTAAGTCTTATTCACATGGACTTATTTGGACCTGTTACACCAATAAGTCTAAGTGGAAAGAAGTATGTCTTGGTAGTAGTTGATGACTATTCAAGATACACGTGGATAATCTTCCACAACAGCAAGAAGGAAACTCAGGGAAAGCTCACAAACTGCATGAACCTAATTCAAAATCAAGCAAGTCAGACCATTCAGAAGATCAGATCTGACAAAGGCACAAAATTCCTAAATGAAATCATCATTCATTACTATGAAGAAAACAGAATTCTTCATCAGACATCCGCAGCAAGGACACCTCAACAGAATGGTGTAGCTGAAAGAAGGAACAGAACCTTGAAGGAAGCAGTAAAAACCATGCTGGCAGAAGCTTTCTTGCTAAAGAGGTTCTGGGTTGAAGCTGTAAACACTGCTTGCTATATACTCAAAATAGGAGTATGATTTATAAAAGGCACAACAAAACTCCCTATGAACTGTGGAATGGGAGAAAGCCTAATATATCATATTTTCATATTTTTGGGAGCAAGTGTTTTGTGTTGAGCAATGGGAAGAATCATCTAAATACTTTTGACGAGAAATCAGATGAAGCCATCTTTCTCGGATATTCTATGGTGAGCAAGGCATTCAGAGTCTGCAACAAAAGGATCATGATCACTGAAGAATCAATACATGTTATTTTTGATGAAAAACATGTGGTTGACAAGCCATCAAAGCATGATCATGAGGTTCTCAGACAAAGATGAAGAAATCAATGAAGGAGATAGAATGAAGCCTACGAAGTTCATTCCATTCGGAAGTCTGCCTCTGAAGACTTCACAGAGAAATCCAGACAGTGCTGAGCCTACCGGAAATCATGGCCAGCCTCCCAACATTCCGGATCACTCACATGGCGACCATTCCGGAAATGGCGATCAAGAGACAATCCATCTAGAAACACCAACAAACTCTGTTCTTCAACCAGAAGCTGAACTAGATCAGCCAGTCAACCCTAATCAACACAACCTTCGTTGGTTAAGGGATCATCCTCCTCAACAAGTTATTGGAGATATTCAATCAGGCGTTCGCACTAGGAGTGCACAACAGAATCTAGAAGCCATGCTTGCTTGTTTCATCTCGCAAGTAGAACCAAAGAGCATTGAAGAAGCTCTAGCTGATTCTGATTGGATCAACGCAATGCAAGAAGAACTTAACCAATTCACCAGAAATGACGTCTGGAAACTTGTTCCCAGACCTACTCATCAACATGTCATTGGGACAAAGTGGGTCTTCCGGAACAAGATGGATGAAAATGGCGTTGTTGTCAGAAACAAAGCCAGGTTGGTTGCCAAAGGTTATTGTCAAGAAGATTGTATAGATTTTGATGAAACCTTCGCTCCAGTTGCTAGACTTGAAGCTATAAGGCTGTTTGTTGCTTTTGCTGCTCATAAAGACTTCAAGGTCTATCAAATGGATGTCAAAAGCGCATTTCTCAACGGAAACCTAGAGGAAGAAGTTTATGTGGAAGAACCTCTAGGATTTGAGTTACACACTAAAGGCGATCAAGTGTATAGACTAAAAAAGGCGCTATATGGACTCAAACAAGCACCAAGAGCTTGGTATGATACATTGTCTCAATTTCTGATAGACAATGGATTCATCAAAGGAGCCATTGACAAGACCTTGTTCAAACTTCAAGATGGAGAAGATCTCCTTTTGGTCCAAATCTATGTGGACGACATCATATTTGGCTCAACTAAGGAAGCTCTTTGCACCAAGTTCTTCACCCTCATGCAAGAAAAATTTGAGATGAGCATGATGGGGGAACTCAACTACTTCCTTGGTCTTCAAATCAAACAGAGAAGTGAAGGGACTCTCATAAATCAAGCCAAGTACACAAGGGATCTTATCAAAAAGTTCAAAGTTGATCAGAAGTCATCCGTTTCTATCCCCATGAGTACATCCACCAAGCTTGACATGGATGTAGATGGAAAGGATGTTGATCAAACTCTCTACAGAGGAATAGTTGGATCTCTACTCTACCTTACTGCCAGCCGACCGGATATCTCATATGCAATAGGTGTTTGTGCTAGATTCCAGTCAAAGCCAAAGGAAAGTCATTTAATTGCAGCCAAAAGGATTCTTAGATACCTCAAAGAAACTCAGAATATGGGTTTATGGTATGCTAAGAGCAGCTCATTTGAGTTAGTGGGATACTCAGATTCTGACTTTGCCAGATGCAAAGTTGACCGGAAAAGTACATTTGGAACTTGTCAATTCATTGGTGGAAATCTTGTTTCTTGGTTCAGTAAGAAACAAAACTCCATCTCTACATCAATAGCAGAAGCAGAGTATATTGTTGCTGGTAGTTGTGCTCAAATTTTGTGGTTAAAGCAACAACTACTGGATTATGGAGTCAAAACAAAGGAAGTGACAATATTTTGTGACAATCAAAGTGCTATAGCCATCTCCCAAAATCCAGTGCATCACTCTCGCACTAAGCACATTGATGTTAAGCATCACTTCATCAGAGATCATGTGGAAAAGAAGGATATCAAAATTGAGTACATCTCAAATGAAGAACAACTGGCGGATATCTTCACAAAACCACTAAGTGAAGCCCAGTTTTTCGATTTACTTCACAAAATTGGTCTAATTCAATTAGACTGAGTGCGGTACACGTGGTAGTCCACTCACCACGTCTGATAAAGTATTGGGTAGGCACATGACCTTGGGAACAGTTGAAAACCCAATCGCCACTATATTCAGATCTCAACTACCTACTCAGCCCACTCAAATTTTCGCGTCTTCCTCGCGAGAATTCTCAAGAACCCTAATTTCTTCAGATTGTTTCACCCAAAATTCAACGAAAATGAAGATTGTTTGAGCTAATATTCATTTCCAAAAATTAGAAGCCAAATGTTCTTCACCGGCGTTCTATCAAACTTATTTGGAGATGATTGCTGCACAGGAATTCTCCGAATTCCTTCATCTGGAAATCGGCTTCAAGTATGAAGAAGAAGTTCTTGAATTCTACAAGAACGGGAAGATCTCAACGATTCAATCCAAGAAGAACCCACAAAGGACGATTCAAGTTATTAAGTCCACTGTTGGAGGCACCAAGGTGAAGATTTCTCAGAAGAAATTGATGAAAAAGCTCCATCTTCCTAATTCTGGAATTGAAATTGGGAGGCTCTCGTCCAAGAATCTGGACTGGAAAACTATTGGGATTTCTGGACAAATCCCCTCTGGCCCAGCAAAGAAGGCCGACTTGAAGAATGACTACAAATTGGTCCTAGAGCTAGTCATTGCATGCCTAGAATGTGGCAGTGGAGGACATGCAGATGACATAACTCAAGAAAGGGCATTCATCATCAATGCCCTCGTTACCAGAACCAAGGTAAATTGGGCTAAACACTTCTTCAACTCTGTTTCAAAGCATTTAGGGAAGCCCAAGCAGAAATATCTCTGTCAAGGATTGTACCTTCGGTACATTTTAGAATCCTTGGATGCTGCTTCTGACGGCAAGAAGTATGATGCCAGATATTGGCTCTACTATCTGTCTTCTAATGGAGAAAACAGAGCTAGTTCAACTACAGAAGATGAAGGCCCTTCAGACAATGTCCTAATTGTAAGTCTGAAGAAGTCCTCAAAGAGGAAGCAAGTGGTGTCTCCCTCCCCCAGCACTGAGGCACCACACAATCTTGCAGTGGTTAATTTGGATGAAGAAGAAGTTCCTGCCCAGGGAGAACTTCAGAAGAAGAAGAAAAGAAGAATCTCCGCTCCCTATACATCTGGAAATGTCAATCCGGATGACTTGATACAGAATGAACCAATTGAGGAAGTCTCTGCACGGGAACAGAGTCCTCAATAGTTTGACACTCCTCAAGATCAGAGTCTTCCATCTTCTCCACCATAAGCTCAAACTAATGATGAAGTAAACAAATTCATGCAGCTCTACTATGACTGGAGAGCTTGGAAAGTTGGAAACTCTGCAAATCAGTTGGTTGAATGGGATCAACAACTGAAAAATGAAAGGATTATCAAGAGGTGTTTGGGACAGCCAGTCAACTATTTTTGTGAGCAGATTCTGGATGAGGAATGGGTCTGGCAGAAAAACTATGAAGATCTGCATCTGGAATACTTGGCCACCTCTCCAACTTCAGAGTTTGAAGCTGATGATGAGGACCCGGTTGTCTACAAACCAATCCTCTCAAAGCCAACTGAAGATCAGACTGCACTCACCACTGAAGCACAGGCTGACATGGAAGCTAGAGCTGAAGATTTCCAAGTTTTTCCGGAAACCTCACCTGCTTTTGATACTGTCCTGCCTGAAGTTGTTCAGGAGAATGCAGCTACTCCCCAGCAAGAACAGATTCAAACAGCATCTGAAGAAGAGCTTCTACAGTCCTTACAATTTCAGGTTCAAGAGATTCTCTCAAGCCCTTTTGAAATCTCCAACTCAACAGAACCTGAAAATCCGGAAAAGTCAACAGAGAATCTGGAAAAGTCACCTCTTCCAGAAACTACAGAGGAAGAAGCTCATGAAGAACAAGCAGTTGAAGTCCAAAGAAGCTTTGAAGAAGCTGAAAGAGAAGCTCAAATAGCTAGGCTGGAGGTCTCTGAAACTCCAGTGGCTATCTTTGAGCAGCCAATTGAAGATGAAGACAAAGATTCCCTCTCTAGGGATATCTCAAATTATGAACATGAAGAAATAGAGGGTCAGTAAAGACCCTGAAGATTGATGAGGAAGAAGCTGAGCAAAGAGAAGATGCTGAATCCCTCCCTCTGCAACTCTTCCATGGAATACCTTCATCAAATCAGGTAACAAATTTTCATTTTCACAGCTCTTACGCATCCACCTTTCTGGGTGATATACCGGAAGCCTGAACAAAGAAGGTCCAAGGGTTGATTGAGTCAGCCCTGGAGTCTCAGCTTGCCTCTTTTAGGCAAGAAATAGAGCAGATGGAAACAAGGCACAACCAAATGCTGGAGAAGTATGAAGAAAGGTATTGCTCAAATCTCAAAGAAATAAGCCAGTCTGTAGACTTTCTCTAAAGATCATTTTTCTATTGAGTAAGTCTGTGAGCAATATAATGATGGCTTATGCATCTGACTGCCATCTTCAATTCAAAGAAGCCACTGAAATCAAGCAGCAGATTGCCACAGTCACAATCAATCTTCAGAAGCAGATGTCACTCCATCAGATGGATATCAGATCAGCCTTGGCAGTGTCATCAGCAAACCAAGTGGTAACTCAAGACTACCTAAGGGTTCTTGCTGAGAATCAGATGGAAGCTTTCAAGCTTTTTAGACATTTTGGAACCTTCACCGCCAAACATAGATTGGATGTGACTGTTCAACCTAAAAATCTACCTCCAATTCCAAGACTTCCACTTGAAATCAAACAAGGAGAACTCTCATACATTCCATCTTATCTGAACATGACGGATCTAATCTTGGAAGCCCAACAGAAAAATCTGGAGAACTCAATCCAGCATCTGTCAAACACTGAGTTTGATGGAACAGAAGCTGTAGGAACCATTGCCTCCCACTTCACAAGTGATGCCCAGACAAAAGAGAGATATAACAACCTCAAGCGCATCCAGGAAGAGTGTGGAGTTATGCAAGGCATTGGTGAAGTTGCCGGATCATCCAAGCGCAAGAAGAAGTGAAGGCTTTTTTCATCCAAACAGGGGAAGTATTGAAAACATTATTTATGTTTTGATTAAAACACCTTCTTGTTTAAACATGAGTTTTTGGTTTAAACATTGCTCAATACATCTCTTAATTATGCTTGAACATATTTCTTTTAAGTATGATTTTTGAGATTTATTATTGAGCACATACATTCAGGGGGAATGTAATTCAGGGGGAACTTAACTATTTTTGGCTAATACATGTCTTGTGGCAATGAACTACTGATAAACTCTAAGCAATGGAAGACAGATACTTCAATTTTTGTACCAGAGTTGGAGATCTTCGATTCAGGTATTCTACGATATCTGCCCTCCTAAACTTAGTATCAATCCTTAGTTCATTTCCAACTTTGCTCTGAAGTACTGGTCCTTAGGATTCTTATAATGTACAAGACTTTGGAAAATTAGTACCACTTTACTTTTAGAAATGGAATTTACTTCTTTTGGTACTACCTCGTCCTAATTAGAAATTAGAACTATAGAGAATGAAAAATGATAGATTTTATTTTGGGCCTTGAGAACCCAATAGGAATAATTTCCCTTTAGCACATAGATTTTTTTTGGGCCACTCTTTTGGGCATAGCCAAACAAAAGCAGTTACGTTTTTCAAACCAAATGAAACTGATCTCATTTTAAACAGTTTTCAACACATTGGTAACCGGTAAAAGATTCTTTCAACTCGTCAAAATTCAAATTCTTGGGAGTTGAAACTCTTTTACTCTCACCGTTCAACCTACCCACTAAATGGAACCCGTGAACCTCCCCTTCTCATCTTCTCCTCCAATTTAAACCAAGCCATTCCAATCCATTCCTATCACAAACAACTTTTTCAACATGGAAAGTCTTCAAACTCACTGTCTGAGAAAAACACCAAGAAAAATATCCTCAATGGAGAAATTTTTCTTTCTCACCCTCATAGACGGCAATGGAGAGAGCCTGGTGAGAAGAAAAGATATTCAAGATATTTAGTGGAAATCTCGGCAGTAGAGAAGATATTTGGTGGGAACCTCGTATATTTTTGCATCTCGCCACATATCTTTTCCAGAACAATACTCTCTCCATTTTTGTTCTTTCTTTTTCCTTTTCTATTTTTTGCTCTTCAAAATTTTATTTTTAAAATTTTCTTATTCTTGTTTTTCTCTTCTCAACACTCTTCCCTTCTTTCTTTCTTTCTTTCTTTTATTTATTTCAAATTGATTTTAGGTCTCCACTTCTCCTCCCTTTTCCCCTTTCCCTACCTCTTTTAAAACTATTTTTCAAATTTTCTTTTCGCTTGCAGCAATAAGGCAAACCTTTCTTTGTCTTATAGCTGTTAGGCAGACCTCTCTCTCTTCCCTAGCTTGTCTACAATTTTCTTCTGGTTTCCAACTTTTTGGTTTTCTTTCCCCTTCTTCTCCTATTTTTCAAAACTTTTTCTTCCCTAGTCACCATTCTTTTTAAACTCTTCTAAATTTTTTTACCCCATCTTTAAAAAGCCCTCTTTTTAATCTTCCTTTTCACAATCTTTTCTTTTTCCCAAAACCTCCTCTTGTCCTTCTGTCTTTTTCTTGCCTTTCATTAGCTCCTCCTTT